CCAAACCTTTAAATTCCGTTTGGCCTGGGATGCTCTGAAAAAGGAAAACAGCATATAAGCCTTGAGACATAAATCCAAGCAATGTCTTTATTTATTTATTTATTTTACCTGGGGGAAAATGCTAATCTGTAACCCTAGTCTGATATCATACTGACCCTTATTTTGTGAGGCCAAAGTGAAAAATGGCAATATAAACTTTTCTGTTCACTTATTAATAAAGGAAGAGATGGAACCTCCCCCTAAAGTTTCACTCTATCAAGACTAAGACACTGGATCTGAGATTTCGTCTGCTATTTAATATGTATGCAAACCCTATACTTGGACTAGGAAGCAGTCCTCAGAACAGAACAGGGAAATACTGCCTAGTTGAAAATCAGGAAGGGAATGTGATAGAGATGCGTCCTGTCTCCATACCTTTCAGATCATTTGTGAGGCTGGCCTTTATGAGGAGGAGTGTGGCATCAGGATTGGAAGAAGACTGATCAACAACCTACCTTGCTTGCTGAAACTGAGGAGGACCTGAAGCACGTGCTACAGAAGGTCAAGGACTGTAGTCTTCAATAAGGATTGAAGCTCAACATAAAGAAGACTGAAATTCTCACCACTAGGTCAACTGGCAGCACCATGGGGGATGGAGAAGAGATGGAGGTTGTTAACAGTTACAGCTTGCTCAGCTTCACAATCAATGCTCTTGGTGCCAGCAGTCAGGAAATCAAAAGACGAATTACATTAGGTAAATCTGCTGTCAGAGACCTTTCCAGAGTACTGAGAAGCAATGATGTCAGCTTAGTGATTAAGGTGTACCTGACTTAGGCCATGGTTTCACAATTACTTGCTATGTATCAGAAAGCTGGACAGGGACTAAGGATGACAGAAGTCAATGCTTTTTGAGTTGTGGTATTGGAGAAGAGTATTGAACATACCATGAGCAACCAAGAGAACAAACAGGTCCATCTTGGAGAGGGTGAAACCAAGTTTCTTGGATGCTAGAATTTTGAAGCTTTGTCTCATATTTTGGGCACATGTCCAGGAGGAACCAGTCCTTGAAGGTCATCATGTTCAGCAGGGTGGAGGGACAGCACAGGAGAGGAAGATCCTGGAGGAGGTGGATTGACATATAACTTGGGTAATGGGGGTAGGGGTGTTGGAGTCAATGATACTGGCTCAGGATAGGGCAGGCTTCAGCACTAATGTTGCTATGATTCACAAGTGACTTGATGGCACATAACAACAACAACAACAAGGTTTGTTAAACTCATATTTGTCAGTTGAGATGTTTCTTTGGTTAATCCTATTAGTTTATCAGATTACATTAAAAACACATTCACTATTCTTGCTTTAAATCTTCAATATTTCCAGTATGTCTTTCTTTAAGCTACATTTCATCCTGTTACTCCCTAATAAAAATCCACATTACCACCAGCTGCTACAAAATATAGAAAGCACTTTGCTACACCTATTGACTAAGTTCTCTTTGTATTAACTAGTTTTGCCAGTTTTCAGTAAAATGCATAAAGTGCATGTTGTTGTTTGTTGTTATGTGCCGTTGAGTCACTTGCGACTCATAGCAACCCTATGTACAACAGCCCTAAACTCCGCTCTGTCCTGTGCCAATCGCACTGTCTCTGACACTCCCATCCCAATTATCCCAGTCACTGAATCAATCCACCTCATAGAGGGCCTTCCTCTCCTGCGCTGTCCCTCCACCCTCCCAAGCACGATGTCCCTCTCCAAGGACCGGTCTCTCCTCATAATATGTCCAAAGTATGTTAGACGGAGCCTCAGAATCCTTGCCTCCAAGGAGCCACCCGGTTAGTGTAAAACTTCTTTTATTAAATTCATGAAACATTTTGTCAAACTTTTTCTGTTGTTGTTAGGTGCTGTTGAGTATGATTCATAACAACCCTATGAACAATAGACCTGAACCCTTTCCTATTCTGTGTCGACCTCATGATCTCTGACATACTTGAGCCCACTGGTTCAGTCACTGAGTCAATCCACCTAATTGAGGATCTTCCTCTCATTCGCCATCCCT